GGACTGGCCTTCCAGAGAGCCCTGGGTTCGGCCGTGAAGACCCCGCGCCTCCCGTGGGCTCAGTCTACGCACCGTAATGACAGTCAGAACAGGTTCAGAAGGATTCCAGACCAGAGCAGGTCATTTAGTGACGTTATCCTTCCAGGGGGCCGTCAGTGTGCCCCCGCCCCGTGAGGGAGGCAGTGTGGCCGCCGCTCCCCTTGCTGGGCCTCCGGCCAGGAGAGGAGAGAGCACATCACACACACGCCAGGCCTCCTGCCACCACTTACCTGTCACTTTCCCTCTTCTCTCAACGTTTTTGAGGGGAAAGGCCCCTGGTCTGCAGCCAGGCACCTGGCGGACGCGCCGCTGCTTCTGGGCCCCTTGTCTCGGGGCCGCCCTCTCATGCAGCGGTGGGCCTGGGGGGCACGCCTCTGCCGGTGCCCAGGTGAAGCCGCGTCTCTGCCCTGCGGGCGGTCGTGCTCCCGCGCCCTCGGGTCCGACAGGGACTCGGCTCTCGGGAGGTCACCTGGCCGCCGAGGAGAGGCCACGAGGGACAGCGTCAGTGCATCTCCCTCCGCTGCTCGGGCCGGACCCTCCGGGCGTTTCCTCCTGAGATCGTGCCGAGCAGCAGACCGGCTGTCGGGGCCGTGGACTGCCTGCAGGGACCTGGGCGCTGCAGCCAGACGCTGGCTTCACCCTTCACCGCCCTGCTCCATCCCGGGGAGCGGAACTTCAGCAAGTCTCAAAATAAGTAAAAATAGAAGCTTGAAACCTCAGATATAACAGCTTTTTTTGTGTGTGTGAAAAGCTCTTTGGGCTTTGCAGCCCCTGGTAGGAAGTGTTTGTTTATTCATTTGTTTGTGCATGAGTGTTCAGTGAGCACCCGCTCTGGGTCGGGCATCGCGCTCCCCGCAGGGTGCCAGGGAAGCAGGGACCCCGTGACCTCACCTTCACGCGCCTAGTTAGGGCAGGAGGGAGGGGAGGCAGGGAAGACAGGTGAGTAACAAGCAGGTGCCGTCGTGGGTCACAGATGCTGTGCTGGGGCATCTGGAGGCGCTTGGGAGTGCTGGCATAAAAGGGGGGAGCCAGCCCAGCTCCTGGAGGGGGCGTCTGAGAGCGGGTTCCCAGGGAGTGACGTTCAACCTGATACTTGAAGACGGCAGAGAAAGTGTCCGGGCAAGACCTGGCGTCGGGGGTGGAGGAGGAGTGGCAGGAGGGCCTGGCGAGGGCTAGAAGGTAGGTGAGAACATGATGGGGCAACAGGCTGGGAAGATCCTTTCTTGTAAGACTCACAGAGGCCTAGAGTCAAGGATGGAGATCTCGCAGGGACTTACGGGCCATTTTGAAAAGTTTGCAAGGTCAGAGGGAAGCTGTCAGAAGGTTTTCAGCAAGTGAGACATTGACTTTTGGAGAATGGATTTGGGTAGAGCAAAACGATGCTGGCAGATCAGCTGGGAGGTTGTAGTAATCTGAGAAATAGATGATGGTGGTGATGGTGTTGATGGCAGTGGTGGTGATGTGGTGATGATGGTGATGACAAGGATGGTGGTGATGATGATGTGATGACAATGTTAGATGGTGGTGGTGATGGCAGCGGCTTGGTCTAGGTAGTGATAGTGGGTATGGAAAGGGTTATAGCAGCAAGAAGTGGCTTTTAGGGATGTCAGCAGAAAGCCCCTGAGCCGCCAGGGCCCTGGATCCATCTCATGCGGGACCACCACCAAAGACGGGTATCCTTTGAGCAGACCAACCTTCCTCTGCCTAGCATTTCCCCACAAGTCCTTGCTTCCTACTTGGGAAGGAGAAGGATGGGGTGAAATGTTTGCAGAACTCCAGACCAGAGGCAGAACTGGCCCAAATTCTAACATCATGTTTGTTCCTCCTGGACAGTTCTGAGAAAATCTCTCAGGCATTTTCGTTTCTTGAATCTGAACTTTACGTGTTACTCACAGCCGTAGGAAGGATGGAAGGATGGAAACAGTGTTACTCGTGCTCACGGTCCTAGTCAGGTGGCATGCAGTAATCTACGCCCGAAACCCGGAAGAAGCACAGGCGGGGCTGTGGCCACTGCCCCGGGTTTCCTTGTTACAGGGTTCTGTCGGGAGGAGACCCACCGAGCAGAGGCCCTGCTCCTCCTCCAGTGCTGTCTCCAACCTGCTGCAAGCATGGCCACAGCGCCCGTGTGGCTTCACCGGACCACGGAGGGCCAGCTCAGCCAAGGAGCGGAGCCCCTCCTGCGGCCACGCCATCCAGCCCCTGGCGTCGGTCCTTGCCTGAGGGGGCCACGTCCACGGGGGCCGCAGCCTGACTGCAGCAGCCTGACTGCAGCAGCCCTGCGTGGGCCTGCAGAGCATGTGGAGTTACTAGCAGGTGTCACTCTGGGGCGGGAGACCACCACGAGAAGGTGATGTGGTGATGATGGGTCCTCTACCCTCGTAGAGCCGAGGGCCAGTCTGTCTACGCCCCTTCCTTCCATGGTTCTCTCCTCTGCCCTTCCCCGGAATCCCCACAGTTGCATTTTATTACATCTTGAGACTGGGACTTAGTGTAGCATTGTCTCGCACAGTTTGCAGTATCTTAGAGGTTCGCTTTGTCGTTTCGTAGGCTCAGCTGAAATTGTCACAAGTCCCCCAAACGATGAGACACTTCCTGCACCCCCGCTGCTCCCCCTCCAGGGAGCTGTTGTCCCAGGCATTCCAGTCTTGAAACAAAACCTTAACGTGGTGTGGTGACATTTAATTTAGTGCTTCTCATTTCAAAGTCCTTAAAAATATTAATTCCCGTAAACCCCAGGAGGCATATTATTAATATCCGCAGTGCCTTTCATGCTGGTCCATTAGTGTGTCCTTTCTGTGCAGTGGGTGAGAAAATGAGGCCAGATCGTTTTTGCCCCTCACGGGGGAAGACCTTGATGGAGCCGAGGTCAGAGATAGAGTCCCTGCCTTGACTGATGTCTCCGAGCAGCGGGGCCTCGCGACCCAGAGCGCGGTTTGGGAGCACAACGCTCCTGTGTGGGGCCGATCTCGGGGGACGGTGCCTGGGCCTCCTTGGAGTGGGGACTTCACAGACCTAGTTCCATGGGGTCTGCGCGTAGGAGCGCAGGCCTGAGGGAAGCTGGATGTGGTCGCTGTAAAGCCTGGGGCGCAGACGGAGCAGGGAGCACCGTCGCCTGTCCCGGAGGGGCGCACAGTGGGGCGTGGGCACCAAGCGAGCCCTCGCCACCCGGCCTCCCGCCTGCGGCCTGGGGGAACGTGTGCAGCACAGTGTCCCTGCAGCCGAGGATCAGGAGTACCACTTCGGGGGCCACGAGGTGGGGGGCTCCCGATGCCGGGGGCGCAGCTCAGGGCCTTTGGCCGGTGCCTGCCCACCGCCCTGCCGTCCTCCGCCCCTGCCTGCCTTCCATCTGGGCACCTGGGCTGCTCCTACATCCATGACCCCGGCCGATGCTCCGAGCATCCCCGTGCACGGGGCCCCGCCAGGCGCAGCTTCCCCATGGCTCATGGTCCTCCTTCTTAACAGTTTCCTTCAAGTGACATCATGGCTCTGGGTTGTATGTTTTTTTTTCTTTTTTTAATTTGGGTTTTTTAATATAGTTTTAGAAGTTTATCAAAGTAACAAACATATACATTATTTTTTAAAAATCAGCACGTACTCCCCACCGAGAGGTAAACTCTTAGCTGTTTTTCTGGTAACTGTGCCCATGCTTTTAATCAACATGAGTACGTTGCTTTTTACTGACTTATCAGCTTGGGCGTCTTTGTTGGCGTCCTGCTGTGGCTTTTACACGCGTCACTTCACGCCCCACCCAGTGGGGTTATGGATCTGCTCTTTTCACTTCTTTTCTAACTGGGCATTTACCATTGAAAGTTCTTTGAAATGGAGCAAAGGGAGGTCAGCATGAAGCAGAGAACCTCCTGATGTCCACACGGGCCCCCCAGCCCCCGCGCCTCGCCGCACGGCCGCCCCCGCACTCAGGCCGTCGTGCAGCTGGCGCAGTGTCTGGTGAGGTGGCGTCGCGTTGGTGCCTCCGCGGCCGTGGGAGCAGGCTCTCCGGAGGGCCGGGAGCTGTGCTGCACTTGTTCTGGACTCTCTGCAGTTGCTCCCTGGCCTGCTGGTCTCTGGTCCCCGCCCCTCTCCGTTTAATTAGAGGCCTCCTGCCTCCTCCTCCAGTGTTGCGCTGTGTGTTTATTTTCTAGGCAGACTTCGGTAGCAGCTCGTGGAACTCTGTGAGGTAGCTCGTTGCGTTCACTGGGAGCACGTGGACGTTGTTAACCTGGGGAGAGCAGCGGTCCCCAGAACGTGGGTGCCTCCTGCCCAGGCTGGGAGCGGCTCCCACTTGTTCAGGCCTCCTGTGTTTTCCACGAGAGTTTTATGAAGTTTCCTTGTTGGTGCATTTCTTGTTGAGTTTCATCTTGTTTGTTGCTTTAGAAGTGGGGGCTCCTTACGGGGCCGCCCTCTAACCGTCTGCTGTGCACATGCACATGAAGGCTGCTGGCCGCTTGCGTCCCCGCGGGGGCCTGTGAACTCGGTGCGCGGCTCTGCTCACAGCAGGGGTCCAGGCCAGGGCGGGGGCGGGGGGCGGGTGGGCGATGTGACTAAGCGGGAACCCGCCGCTGCTTCCCCCTGGGGTCGGCGTCCTAACCTCCTCTCCTTGCTTCTCTGCACACCGTACCTTCCTGTGTTTAGGACAGTTGCTCTTCCATGTTCCAGACAATTCTTCCAGACAGAGCCGGTGCTTCTGAGACGTGCTCTTGTTACCGCAGTGGCGCTGCCTTTTACGCTGTGTTACCGCGTGGTGGGCGTGACTCATTTACCTGATGGGACCGTCAGTCGTTCTCAGTAAACATCTGTTGAGTCTGTGAATTTTCACAACCACCCTGTGAAGTAGCTGGAGAAAGCGGGGGTCACTTGTCCAGGGCCACGTGGCTCTTAGGGGCGCACTCGGAGTGCAGGGTGGAGTCTTGACTCCAGGTGCCCTGTGATCCCTGCTGAGTGTCTTGCTTTTCCTCCTGCACCAGGCCCGGTACAAGCAGAGCCTGGACCCCACCGTGGACGAGGTGAAGAAGCTTTGCACGTCTCTACGCCGAAACGCCAAGGAGGAGCGGGTCCTCTTCCACTACAACGGCCACGGGGTGCCCAGGCCCACCGTGAACGGCGAGATCTGGGTCTTCAACAAGGTGGGCGTGCCGTAAGAGGTTCCGGTGAACCGAATCCGTTTCTCTTTCTGCCAGAAAATCTGTTAGTTTTGGTGGCAGCTGCAGGCCCAGTTCCTCTGCAGGGTCTGTGGACAGTGACGTTTAAATGTGGGAGGAGTGCACAGGGCCAGGGGCTCGCCACCTGGTGGGAAGGTGGGGAGCACTTGGACTTCGGTGGTAAATAGGCCAGCACACAAGCTGTCTCTTTTGGAAACCATATTGAGGGAATGGCTGTCGAGGAAGTCACGGGGTCTGGCGTATGGGACTTGTCCTCTCCCTCTGGGTGTCGAAGTCACGGGGTCTGGCGTATGAGACTTGTCCCCACCTCCGGCTATCGAGGAAGTCACGGGGTCTGGCGTATGGGACTTGTCCCCCCCTTCCGGCTGTCGAGGAAGTCACGGGTCTGGCACGTGGGACTTGTCCTCCCTCTGTGGGGTGGGAGTTGTTCGCATTTCTCTGGGAAAGGCCTCAGGAACATGGGCCTTCTAGTCTAAACAACTACAAGATTTCTCACTTTAGTTAGAATCTCCCTTGAGAATCAGTCACGTTCCTGGAAGATGAATCGATGTCAGTGTCTCGAAGAGCTGACACCAGGCAGGGCCTCACTCTGCTCTCTCCGAGGTCAGCGTGGCTGGCCTCCTGCAGCCCTCAGTCCAAGCCTGGGGTGGAAGTGGGGGGTAGGCGCACCCCTTCCCAGCACCCCGGGCTCGTCCTGCAGGGTGGGAACGCTGGCCTCCCACCGCGTCCTCCCAGAAGGGCGCCATCTGCAGGGTGAGCCCTTGGCCGCAAGGCTGCCATACATGCTGGACCAAACTCCAGATTTCAGCCACGCCACTTACCAGCTCTTGGACCATGGACAGACGAAAACCTTCCTGGACCTCCGTGTCCTGACTGCGAGAGCTCTTCAGGGTTGTGGTGGGATGAAAGGAGGTGGGCGTCTGGAGCGCCAGCACACCGCTCGCATGGCGGACCCTCAGCGGACCTCCACGCCTGGCACGTCCCTCCGTCGGTTTTTGCAGTTGATGATCCCTTAATGACGTGTGATGCTGGGCACTTTGCAAACGCTTATCTGCCATCTGTATGTTTGTGTGCTTGTGTGTGTATTGAGTTACAGTCAGTTGCAATGCTGTGTCGGTTTCTGGTGCACACGTCATGGCTCAGTCACACGTGTGCGCACACAGATTCCTTTTCGTATTCTTTTTCACTATAGGTCACTACAAAGTAGTGACCACTGTTCCCTGTGCTGCGCGGCATGGACTTGTGGTCTGTGCATTTTCCTTGGCAGGGTTTCCGTACCTTGCGCCCACTTTTAAATACGTGTTTTATAAATACTTCCTCCCATTCTGTGACTTGTGTTTTCATTCTCTGAATAGTGGGCATTGACTTTTTGAAGAGTCCAGACCAGTTATCCTCTAGAATGTCATATTCAGGCTTAATTTCTTTGTTTTCTCATGAGTGTATTTCAGACTGGATAAAAAGCAATATCAAACTTTGTGTCGTCCATAGGAGATGCGCTTGAAATACAGAGCAGATAGGGTGGAACGTAAAGAGGTGTGTCTGAAATAGCATCTGTAGGAGAGCTGCAGGGGCCACATCACTAACCAGAAAACAGTCCTCGAGACAAGGGGTGTTGCCACAGGTGAAGAGGGCCGCTCCGCGGTGACACTCTGGTCAGGAAGGCACTGGCTGTCCCGAATGTGCAGATGGCCAGTAGGGGAGTTCAGAGCACACAAAGCAAGATTGCCAGCACCAAAGGGAGAAGGGCACACGTCTAGAATTCTGGCTGCTTGTTTGAATAACTATCGGGCAGTAATTGATAGGTTAAAACTGATGTTAAAAATTAAAGAGAAACTTGATAGTTAAAAACTTCCTCACAAAGAAAACTCCAGACATAGTACATTTTTTTCTAGCCCCCCCCCAAAAAAAATCAGTTACCATTACAGGAGACCAGAGCAATTCCGTGCATGGCTGACTCAGTCGCGGAGCACGGCCCCAGCGCCCACAGGACACACTCCAGTGCGGTGGGGCACTCGGCGCCAGCGGCTCAGGGCCGGGTCCCAGTGTGTCTCAGGAACGACTGAAGGACTGAACTTGTGCAGGGTGCATTCTCTGACCACAGAATCTGAACTTGTAGGATATCTGGGAAATCCTCAAGTATTTGGAAATTAAATAACGCACATATCAAAAAAAGGTATCACACGGGAAAATGAAAGTAATTCAAACTAAACCACAATGAAACTGTGACTTGTCAAAGTGTAAGGACACAGCAAAACAGCGCTTACGTGACAGCGTGTGGCCTTACTGAGCCCGTATGCAAAATGAAGGAAGGCTTGAGTGAAGACCTGGGTTTCTGCCCTAAGGAGCTAGAAAACTTGCTGCGCAGCCTGAACTCAAGGTAAGTAGAATGAAGCAGCGATGAGAGCACAGGTCAGCAGGATGGAGAAGGCAGTCGAGGAGGTTAACAGCTGAAACTGAGGTTTTGGAAAACATCTGTAGCTTTGACAAGCCTTTGGCTGGGTGGCAGGAAGGAAGGGGAGACACACCAGCATTTAGGACGAGAGGAGAGACAGCGCCACAGACAGTGAGAAGTCATGGGAATGTCAGCAGTTTCAGGCCAGCGCAGGTAACAACTTAAATTCGATGGAAAATGCCTTTTAAAATGCAGCTTTCCAAAAGCGGCCCAAAATGAAATGGATAATCTGAACAGCCTTCTGTCAATCAAGAAACATTGATTTCATAGTTAAAACCTTCTACGTGCTTACTGACGGCTGGCTGGATATTTTTATGTAAATAACATCAGCAGAATGTTTCCTGGTCGCTCTGTGTAAACTGTTAAACTGTAGGTGGGAGGGGTGGGACGTGCTCTTTGTGATGCCTAGAAAGTGCAGGTGAATAAGGCAGATAAACCACAAGGACCCACTGTACAGCGCAGGGAACTCGGTTCAGTTTCTTGTAGTAACATGTAATGGAAAAGAATCTGAGAAGAAAATACGTGTATGTGTATGCATAACTGAGTCACTTTGCTGTACACCTGAAACTCACATTGAGTCAACTACATTTCAATAAAAAAATTTTTTGATTATAACACACGCACACACAAAGTACAGGTGATACCAGAACTGGAAAGTGAACGTCCCTGTTTGCACACGCACACGCACTGCTTGCGCCAGGGTCCTCAGGGCACCGGCCCCAGCCCGCCAGCCGCAGCATTCGGGGAATTTATAAGACACGCAGGTCACCAGACGCCCCGCCCACGGCCGCCGCAGCCTGTGCCGGGGAGGGGCTCAGAGAGCAGCGTTCCAGCGGGCCCTCCAGGCCGCGCCGACGCTCGCGCGTCTGAGAGCTCTCCCGCCGTAAATCTGGTTTTCCAATACAGGATATCTGAGAAATCGATTAAGATATGATTGATCTGAGGTTTTATGTCTACAAGCATCAAGAAAACAGTATTTAAAAAGGAACTTTAAAGCTTTTATAAAGAGATAGTCCCAAGCTTTCCATCACTTGCCCCAAAGAAGTAGAATTTTTACTGATGGTCTGCAACTCCCGTAAGCAAACACAAAATGCTAGAAAGGTCAAGTTTACAAATAAAATGAACAGCTTTGGGGGTTGGCATGCTGCACCCTCAATATGGATACAGTAATAATTACAACAGATGGGGAAGTGGTCTGGCACAAATACTGCTTTTAGGAAATCACAAATGTGTCTTTTTGCTAATAGCACATTTAGAAACCTTTATGATCCATCTTTCAACAGCGTCAGTAATGAGCTGTACGGTAAACCAGGGTAAGAAACGTCTATTTGATAGTAACGTGCAGTTTTCCAAAACCAATAAACCCTGTTATTTAAGTACCATTTGTTTAGAACCACTCATGAGGCGAACGGTTGTTTAGCTGTAACTAAGGAAAGGCAGAAGCGTCAGCAAAGCCAGCAGCCCTTCCTTCGCGGGCCTAGGCCCTTGCTTGCGGCGCGCACCCCAGCGCTCGGCCCACGGGAGCCGCCCCCGCGCGCGCAGCGTCTCTGGCCGGAAGGAAAGGGAGTCTCCGGCCGGG